CAGCTGCACAGCTACCGGCCCTTCCCGGCTCAGGTGATTCCCAGCTCCCCAGCTTCTCATTGTGCATCTGGACTCACTCCACTGGGTTCAGAACCCAGTGGTTCGCACGGTGAGCGCTAGAAGTGACTGAGCTGATTTCGGTCTTCCACCTAAATGTACTAGATTGATTTGGGTCAGGTTTCCACCCCGAAAAGACTTGCATGCCCAGTCCTGGTCCCAGAGAAACTCCCCTTCCCATGCCTCTGTACCCCGCTGCTCATGTGCCAGCTTCTTTTCTTGGGTTATTTGATAAATGTCTGTATAGAAAAGCCATTTGACTGTTATACAGGGCCGACTCTAAGCTCCCCAATAAATTCTATGCATATATGCCCTGGCCGTGCCTTTCTCCCAAGTTAAATTCGTTGGCTAATGACATCTGACAGCCACATCCTTGAAACGTTGGCTAATACCTCCGTGAACAGGCACGTCCAGGACGTTAACCGGTGGTCGAGTCACAGATGACTGCCAAAGCTGCCCTCCATGCGGTCTGGGCAAGTCACGGTTTGCTAAGTCCATTGGCTATTATGCTGCTTTTCAAAAACTTTAAACAGCATTTTTATGCAGAGGCCACTCCCGCAGCAGGTGTGACCCCTACTTGGGTCTGAACGCCTCTCGCCTAGTCAGTCCCAGAAGGCTGTAGCTCTTCGGAGAGAAGAGAAAACGCGAAAAGAGTAGAATGGGGCAGGAACCAATAAGTTGGTTTCGCACAAGTGGGCAAAAAATTGCTGCCTGACCTTGCGCGCTTATGACCAGCGTGGAACGTGCGGAATTTAAGTGACAAAAATATTTCCTCAATCTGAGTATAAACAATTTGCAAAAAAACAGGTTGCCCAAGCTGCGAGTTTTGCAGACTCGGCGCCCCGATCCACACGGTACTCAACAGACACCCTGGCAGGACCGCCGCTCCGTGGACGGCGGGGGCGGCAGCGGTAAAGTTCCGCCCCAGGGCACCGCGGCACGTGCGTGCGTGTGCGTGCGTACGCGCGCGAGGGTCCGCGCGTGCGCGGTTCTTGACACCCTGCCTTGCAACCCATAGAGCGTGCCTAGACCCGGGCAGCAGCCCGCGGTGCGTGCGCTCGGCGCAGGCGGGGGCGGCGCACGCGTGGTACATGCGCACGCAGACCGTACCCGAGTGTGTCCCCGCGGTGGTGCCCAGCCTCCACGTTGCTGTCTCCTGCTGCGTTGCGGGGGGCGGCGGGAGCGGCGGGGGTGCGACAACCTGTGACCCAGGGAGGGACAAGGAGGGGCCCGAGCCGAGAAAGTGAACCCGCGGAGACATCTGACTAACCTCATCCTAAGAAAGCGACGGGGTCATTTATGAGATCTCATTTAAAAGTAGTGGCTGCCAGGGAAGTAAAAAAGGAGCTCACCCCAAGCTATGAGAGAAGGTATAGTTTCTAGAATGCTGTTTACGACGATATAAATCAACGTGGAGCTTGTGATGGGAAATGTGGAGAGCGTTGAGTTTGGGAAGGAAACAAGGAAACAAAGTCAAGAAGGAAAAATTAGTTTTTCTCCTTTCTCCACCCCACCCCCTCCGCCTCCGAGCATTTCCTTCCTTCCCCGTGCGCTCACGATTCCGATGGGGAAGCTGGGCAGCGTGAGCACCCCGTCGCTGGTCGAGTCTGCCCAAGTCTTTCCCAACTTTAAATGGGGCTCGTTAGAGGATGAGGGAATACGTGTAAATAAACAACTTGGAAGATTTATGGGAAGGAGTTCAATTTTATAGGACTGTATTTATAGAGCCAGCGCTGAGTCACTTATAAATAGATTAATGGGAAACTAAAATTAATGGACTTGTGCACTACACGTTTAATTTCTGAGGCTTCGACGTGACAGAGAACCGACCTCGAAGTCCAAGCGTGGAAGGCAGCTTGCGTTGTGGAGTCGTGAGCGCCCTCAAGAAGGGACAAGTTGCATAGGTCCAGCCACTATGGTGGCTCTAAGCTTTGACTGGCCCAGGTCCCCGGGGAGGTACCCCAGCGGGCTGTTATTTGAAAATGAAGAAAAAGAATGTGGCCTCATAAAAAAAAAACAATCGAGTCTTCCCCCTAGCATTTTAAATCAGGGTCCTTAAGCAGCTAATACCGGCGGGCGGTTGAGCAGGCGGACTTCTGGGGCACTGTAAGCTGCTCACCAGGACTGGCTGCCTCCTGGCAGTCAGGAGTGGCAAGGACACCTTCTCCAAGGTCACCTAGGGTCCCCGCTCTGGGCCTGTGGTCAGGGTCCACGGCCTAGCTGTTCCAGCTGCGGCTCTTTCCATAGCGTGGTAAAACAGTAACAAAGGGGCTGAGGAGCGGTGACAAGCAGCCCAAGGCCATTTTGTAAGCAAGTGTATCTCACGGCTTCCTTCTCTTTCCCTTTCTTTTCCCTCTTCCTCCCAGGTCTTTCCCCAGAGTTTTTAAACCATATTTGGGCCTCTCAGGACTTTGGGTTTTACCTAGTAAATGTGATTGTCTCAGATCCTCTCTGTCATTCGGTGGTGGAAAAGTGGGGGAGGGCCTGGAATTTACCTATGGGATAAAATACGGCAGGTCTGTTCCTCCAGAGCTGCAGATAACCATTCTGTAGGAAATTTTTTTGCCATGGAATATGGAAATTACTCACCACCTCCTTTGTATAATTCCACTGGTAACCAACCCTTCACTCTCCAAAAAGCAAATGAAAAAGAAACTCAGTGAAATACGGCTGAGCTAGAGAGAAAGATGTATACCTATTTTCTTTATAGATAAATGGTTTGCATGCCCTCTTAATCACACTTCCCTTGCTTTTCTTTCCCTCCTTCTACTTCTTCCTTTGTGTGTGCGGGGGTGGGGGGGGTGCTTTTCTTTGATTCAGTTGTTTATAGTTGTAACCATGATACCCTCCCCCAGTTTTTTTAATTAATAAGGAAGCCAAGAAGTGAAAATCTCACATAAAGCAGATTCCATTGTCCCTTCTGTCTTTCCCTATAGGGAAGTCCAACTGGGAATGATTCACCTGAAAAACAGAAAATTGATATGGGAGGCTTATTATTCATAAACAGCACCAACTACATGCTAAGCACTCTAATAACCTGGGGTTATCAAAATTCACCTTTGCTGATGATCCTTAAATGTATATACATACTGCTGTTTCATTTTTTATAATTAAACTAGGCTGGAAAAGGATCTTAGGAAACCCACATTTTATAGATAAGAACCCTGAGGTCAAAAGAGAAACAGTGACTCATCCAAACTACTAATATCTTGGTCATCTTTACTTTCCTAGCCTCAGGGAAGATGCCCAAACCTTGGGAAGAAATGCAGATTGAGAAGGTGTTGGATCCCTGAAACCCCTTAGAGCTGGGCTGCACCCCATTAACCCGAATAAGAAAAGCTTTGGCTTCTCTGAACAGCCTTGAAAATAAGAAGAATAAACTTCCTAAGACAGCTACCCCTATTCCTCTGGGTGAAGGGAGATTTTCCTCATTTGTTTAGGGAGGAGGGCCTTGCACTGCTGGAAAAGTCAGGGTTGGGTTAGATCCTGCAATGAGCCAGTTAACTCCTCCAGATCCCAAGGCATAGGGTGCAGGAACCCATACACGGATGGCCCTGTAAGCATCTCTTCTGAACCATTTTCTTCAAAGAACACTATGCCAGAATGCCATCCCACTAGCAGTGGGAAAGGAGCATCATCTTTGACTTGGACGCAGAGTCATTTAGTTACCCAGTCTTTTAAGTTACCTGGGAAGTAAATTTGATGCCTTTTCTTCTTTGAGGGCAAAGTAAACCAAGAGATACAGTTAACATGAGCTTTTATTGCAAATATGGTTAGAAATAGGAGAGAAGAGTTAATTTGGAATTTTTAAAATAAAAACACCTTCTAGTGAAAACAGAAGTGTCCTTTCTTTCTGAGAAGCAAAAGTTATTGTATTTATGCTGTAATAAAAACATTGCCTGTGTTTTGGTGATGGAGGAGAAAAAGAAAAAAATTTCTTGGCTAACTTTCTATCTGTAGAAGTAAACAATGTCCATATTCAAGAAACTGAAGATGAAAATACAACAAAAACACAACAATCTTTTTATTTATGTAAATCAGATCAACACTGGACAATAAACCAATTTCTATCCATTACCATAACAGCTTGTCTATAAAGAACATAAAAATTCAGATAGGATTCTACCTAGGGCCAAGCGTTTTTTTTTTTTTAACCACCCATTCACAGAGGTATAGATAGATTCACAGATAAATAATCCCAAACTACTTGCTCGCCATATTTACACATTCCCATTAAATTAAGCATAAATAAATATATACAAACTTAACATGGATACCTTCCAGAGCTCTTCTGGTGAAGAGTCAATAGATTGATATTTCTTGATTGTGTGGCAAAAACAATGTTAGTGACAGAGGAGTCAATTTTGGCATTCAAAGATTCGCATTCATTCCACTTTTTAAAGAAAAACACAAACGAATTTTGATATTCCTTCTTACTCTTTTTTTTTTTAACCCAGATAATTTTACATCAGCACAGTAGGGGAAACACTGTTTAGGCTCTTGAGGCAACATCAGATGGTTTAGGGTTATTATGTCCTTCCCACATAGGAATTACAAATACAGGATATCAGATGTGATGGCAAAATCTCTATAAACACTCCAAATAAGAAAAGAGTTCTCCTTTTAAGTAAGGCTTTATACCAGAAGAACATGTGAAGGTAAGTTTGGGGTTTGGGGTTTTCCATTCGACCTAGGTTTTCATAGGATATGAAATAATTGCTTTAGAGAAAGTGTTTTCCCTGGCCAAAGGAAATAAAACAGCCAGGTCTTTGCAAGCCTCTTCAGTTCTTTATATGAATGTGGAGAAAGCTAAGGATGTGGAGCCATAAAGAAAGGAAAATGCAAGATAATAGGGGTGGAGGAGAAAGTTACTTTCCTAGTTTGGGGGAGAAATTAAAAATCACTTTATGATAGAATCCTTGCCCAAAACAGCGCCCCCCAACCCCCCCCCCCCCCCTTTTTTTTTTTTTTTTGGTCCTCTGAGACCCACAATACCTGTAGGAGGAGGCAGAGTGAGACAGAGAATGGGAAGGAGACTTTTAGAACCTCCAAAGGAGCTTGCAAAGTGTAAAGTGTGAGGGCCACGCTGCCGCATCCTGACTCCTCCGTTCTGTCTTTAGCTCTTTTGGTTCGGGACTGAGCATTTAGGAGGGAGCACGTGTTAAAATGGCTAAAGTGTGCAGGTGTTAGGAGGGAAAACTGCAACTCACCTGTTTGGTTTGAAAACAAAGCTCAAAAAGGCTTGCTTTAAACGTTTCCCTTGACTTAAAAGGCAAACTCGTGCGTTAATCCTACTGTTTATTGATTTATGGGCCAAAGGAAACCAAATCTTTTAATAACTCAATTATCAGATAAACGTAGCGGGCCTGGCTAAGGAAAGCATGGGGGCCGGGGTCGCACTTGAAAGGAGAAGGGAGGCGGAGAGCGGGGGGTAGTGGGCTTTCCCCTCGCGGGGAGGCAGGCGGGGGCGCGCGGGGGTCTCTTCTTCGCTGGGGCGCGGGAGGTAAGCACGAATGAGGGTGAAGCGCGATGAAGGGAGCCTTACAGCCCAGTAAGGCAATTCCTATCCCATCACCTCCCCTTAGGAGCGTGAGGGTGAAGAGAGTTTTCATTTTGGCAAAGACGGTGGGGGGGCTTCTGAGTCCCTGGACATTTCTAGGCCACTGGCCTTCTGAGGTGGCCGCTGGTAGCAAAAGGCCTAGGCAGCACTGAGACCCCTCCCCGCCTGCAGCCCGCGGGCGCCTACTGGAGAATGGGGCTCTCTCGGTCACCTTAGCCCTTAGGGTGAGACCGAGAGCGGGAAGGGCCCGCGCGGCCCGCGGCCCCTCCATCGGCTGATTCTATGTCCTCAACACGATTGGGCGCGAGTGGCCCACACGCTCTCGGGACCTGCACAGTAAGAGCAAGGCGCGTCCATCGCGTCTCTCGCACGTCACACGCGTGGGGCGCGTTGCCCTGCAACGAAAGGAGACGATGGTATTCAGTGTGATTTCTCCTGGCCTTTTGCAATCAGAACACATCTAATGCAAGCCGCCAGGCCCTCGGACAAAGGCGCAGGCTTCTGAGCTGGGGAGAGAGAAAGTATCTACAATTTACATACGGTCTAGTTCCCGGTCTTTGTACTTCTTCAACACTAGGGCTGAGTCCTGCCCCCCTAGAACTCCCTAAAGGAGCTGGCGGTGCACGGGCTGGATTTTGACATTAACAGTTGCTTGGACCCTCCTGGTGACCTGAAATCGGCTCTCTAACTCCCTCTCCCACAAAAATGTCAGGTTCCTAACCCCCAACAGGTTCCTAACCCCCAACCCTCCAACCTTCCCACCAGGCCAAGGCCCACCCAACCAGCAGAACTCAGTGTCCCACTGGGTCCTAAGTATAAATCCTGCAGAACAGAAACCTGGCTCTTTATCTTCAAGGGATGTTGCAAAGGTACTAATATCTCTACCTTGTATAAAGAGATGCAGGTAGGACACTAAATTTAGAGAGGTGTTTCACTCATCCCAGCCCTACACAGGGGATTTCCCACTGCTTTTGGCAGGATGGGAACAATGGGTTCCAGATCCTATTTCATGATAATGCTCAGATGAGGCCTGAGAAAGAAGCTGGGCTGCCAGAAGTGAGAGATATTAAATGCATGAAACTTTATCCACTGGGAATAGTCCCAGTCTGTCCAGACGGTAAAATTCAAAGCTGAAATACATCTCCTTTCACTTTGCATTATTTTACCACTATATGCCAAAACAAGTGCACGGCCGGGAGAGGGGCAATGCTTCATTCATAAAGCATCTTGTAAGAAAGCAATTGTTGCTCAGGCAGGGGAGCTTGCCACCCCCTCCTCCCCACAGCACTCATGAAGATGATTTTCCCCCCATTAAAACGGCCATCACCAAAGCGCCCAAATAAATGAAATCCATTTTAAAGGCAGGCAATATTGTTAAAATATTGGGCTCCGAGAACCCTTATTCTTCTCCCCTAAAATTCATTCTGCAGCCCCCACCCTTCACCCAAATGCCATGCTGAGGTATCTGTTGGCAACTAGACTCAAAGCTGCTTCAATCTCTTATTGGCCACTTTCTAAATTATTCCCTTTGAGCTTCTTTAAAGAAGTGCACCTGCAGAATTCTGACACACAGGCTTTGATTAAAAAGGGATCAGATTTTTTTTCTCTGTACCTTATAGATTGTGTAGGAAGCCCAAGTCCTCTTTGAAGAAGCTCATAAACCATGCGGGCAAAGCTTTGGAAAACAGAAGAGAATGAAATGGTACATACCCCTCCGAAGGAATTACATACTAATCAACGTATTCATATTGTGCTTTCTTTTTTACTATTGTTCTTAAAATTGGCAGATGACACAAGTATTATATAACAAATGCAAGATTCTCTGTATGCAGATGCTGCTGGTAAGGCTGAGCACTAGTAACATTTATGAAAGGAACTGATGATGAGTCTGAAATCAACTTATTGATCCGGATTTTCCTCAGCCGCAGGAGCCTCTACTGAGGCAGCCGGCCCCCAAACCTGCAGCCGTCGCCGCACCTTCGCAGGCCTACAGCCCCGCCCGCCCTTGCCTCCCGAATTAGGCAACCGGCCAGGGAGCGGGCGGGTGAGTTAAGAACGCTGGGCGGGCCGGGGGCGGGGTACCAAGGGGACTGAAACACAACGCAAAAGGGCTAACACGCTCATTTTCATCCCGGAAGATTCCCGTGACAGCTCGAGGGAGGGAGGACAACGTAGAAAAGGGTGGCTGGGAGAGGGGTGAGGTGAGATAGAAGGGCGGGATCTGCGAGTTTCCTAAAAAAATATTAAAAATTAAGAAGTTCGTGCGTCTCAGTCAACCAGCTTTCAAAGCACTGACACCAACAATGTTTCTCCCATTTTCTTCCAATAAGTTAGCGTTTTCTCATGTTTAGTCATGTTTATTTTCCAAAGGGGAAAAAAATCATGGTTTTCTTTTATTATCAGTAATTACTAAACTCGAAAGAACCGAAGTGGAAAATCCGGACGGTTGTCTCCAAGTGTATCTTGAAATAGACACTGAGAACCGATATTGTTGCTCCGTTGTACGCCTCAGTTTTTTTAGAAGTTATTTAGCTCTTTTTTTTTAAAATTTCGATTGTATGTGTATTCTACCTAATATAATTCTTCCAAAGCCAATCCAATATTTTAAAGCTAAAATTAATTTTTTTTCTGTTTTCCTTTTGTATTTAAAACATTTTTCTTTTTTTTTTTTTTTAATTTTCATTTCCTGTGTTTCTCCTCCTTGTCGCCAGTTTTACTACCTGGGCCTTCCCCAGACGTGTGCCTGTTAGTGGTGGTGTTGTTCAAGAACATCTTGTCCATGCCTTTGAGCGCCTCGGTGAGATAGTTCTGCAGGGCCGTGAGCGCGGCGCAAATGGCCGGGGCGCCAAAGCCGTGCGTGATGAGGCTGAAGTGCGTGAGGCAGCTCTGGATCCCCGGCTCCAGGATGGGGCTGGGCCGGCTGTTTCCGATCGGCGTCCGGTCCTGCGCCAGCAGATCCGTAAATTCTTTACAAAGTTGCCTGCAAAGGGGAGGGAGAGGAACAAAAAACACCCTCAGTGTCTTTGGCATTGGCATTAAAAAGGAGATGCTCACACAAGCCCAGAGGCAGCCGGTCACCGCAGAGCCGAGGCTAATGTGGGTGATTCCGCTCTGTTTCCTTTCCCAGCGCTCTCCCTTCTACAGCAGCTGAGACTGGAGGGATCGAGACGGGGGTGGGGAGGTTATGCACCCCTTTCATTCCAAAGCCTTGGTTTTTTGCCCCCTTACAATCATTCCCCCCTTAATTCCAGCACTGCATAAACTGTTTTGGAAAATATGCTAGACTGTAGCATTTGATTTTTATATTCAATAATTTTTAGCTCTTACCTGGCAGTTCTTCTAAAAGCCTGCTTCTCTCCCCTACCTCTCCAACCTCTTGGTGATAAGGCTCAAAAAGCCCTGAAAGATTAAGGCCCCTGGGCCACAAGCCTGTCTTCCAGAAAAAAAGCAGATTGCTGGAGTCTTGCATGGCCTAGAGCAAGCAACTGTTTATTCCAGGAGAGAATGCTGATTCCATTCCAGGCAAAAATCTGTTTACCTGCAGTATGCGGGAAGAGAAGTATTTTCCCCCTTTCTTTAAGTATAGGCTACTGAAAATCTTAGTACAACACGATTGTTGTCAGTATAAAAGGATTCCTACATTGTTAAAATAAAACCTAAAGGTAAATCACAGACACTGGGGAGGGTAGGTTTTATTTGTTGAAGGTTTCTATTTCTTCAAGGCACTTGCAATTTCGAGGACTCTCCCAGCCTTAGAAATCCTTTGTCCGTAAGTATGAATTGAACTTGAGAAAATTTTAACAAAGGAAGTGGACAGAGGGTTTTAGCCCCAAATGTCCGATGGCTTGGTTCTACAGGACATCAGAGGCATGGCATCCCAAAGGCCAAACCCTTTCTCAGACTACAGGCTGGTAAACTTCTCCTGTCAGCCTGCCTCCACCTGGTCTGTGGGGTGGTGAGAAAAGAAAAACTTTGAACTCCAGTCCCAGGACTCCCTGCGATGGTCTCACACTTGTGACACCTGGCCTGGCCAACAGGTAAACAGGGCAGGTACCTGGAGGCCAACGGGAGTGACCCTGGAGTATCCTTTGGCGAGTAATGGCTAAACTAGGTGGAGAATACCTCCTCCCCACACCTGCAGCAGCTAAAAGGTTTTTGGTTTTAAAGCTGGTGTGTAGAAAACACTAGCAGGCATCCTCTCTGTACTGGTTTTTCCATTCCAAATACACACATACATCCTCACAATAAGAAAGAGATAGGAAACAGGTCTGACCTAAATAGGGCAGTTTTTAAGCCAGAGGTTAGTTGTTGGGTTCAAATGAATATATCCAGGTCTCCACCCCCACTGATTCTAATGCAGGAGGCTTTGGGCTAGATTCAAGAATAAATATCTTGAAAAAAATCCCCAATTCTGATATTCCAGGCTAAGAGATGCTGGCCTAAGAGGGAAGCCATAAGGCTTTAAGGGGGAAGTTACGATCATTCCTTAGGGAAATGACAATACTCTGTGGAATCCTGTTGGCTAATTTATACGCTTTGGTTTTATTTTCTTCCCAAAGTACCTTTACTCTTTTATAAAGCATCAACGGGTCCCCCCCCCCGCCCCCACACACACCAGACAGCAGAGCAAGGGGTAGGAGCATAATTTACTAACAAATATCTGTTATATTATTAGTTGGTGCATCAGAAGAAAATATTCTAAAAAGAGGGTGGGTGCCAGGTTTTGATCGTTAGAAGAGATGGTTGAAATCTTTCCTTAAGTTTGTACTCATTACCAAAGTGCCAAAAAGGAAATTCTGAACTGGGCAGAACAAATGCTTAGAGTAAAACATTTTAAATCTTCAAAGACCAAAGCAGGGTCTGTAAGCAATTAAAGTTCTGGGACATTAATATTTTTTGACCTTGCGGAAAGGGGCAATCAAATTCCAATCACGTCTCAAAAACATCTGGACAAATTTGAGCAAATGATTTTTCAGCCTTCCATATATTTCTTTAAATTACGCTGTCAACGGAACAAACCGCGTCCTCCAGCACTAAATAAATGAGTGCCGCTGTTTGGGCCGCGCCTGCGAGAGAAAAGTGCGGGCGCACGCAGAGCCGCCCACTGCAGGCCTGAGCCGGCCATAAAACACCAACAATATGACACCGAAGCCAAAGACAGGAGTAAATCAAATAAATAGAAAACCCACTGTAAAAGTTCAAATGAGCTCTAGACCTAAATTTAGCCAGAGATTTACTATTTTCCCCTCTGGAGTTGCAGTAAATTTTACGTCTGTGGAAGATGCCAAACAGCAACGTTGGAAAGAGAATAATTAGAGCTGCGGGTCGAGATGGGTACACGTGGGTGACATACAGACACCATGAGCGTGGGTATGGCAGAGAGATGTGAAACTCAGGCAGAAATATCTGGAAAGAACTGGATTCCAGCAAGGGCTCACCCGGAGAAGGTACGCCTGACATCCCCAGGGTGGGGGGAGGGAATTGTAAAAAGCCTGGATTCAGAATAATAAAGCCATCATTCCCCAGAAACTTGGACATAGAAGAGACAGAGACAAAACCCATATAGACCATAATCAACTCTAGTGTGGGCGGGTTGGGGCCAGCAGTAGCAGGGAGGAGCCTGGGGGGCTTCCTAGCCAGCAAACGACAGGCTTCAAAAGCTACTTCTACCATGGAGCTCCTTCCCTGCCCTGCAAAGGAGGTCACATGGCTTAGCTGGATAGGAGTCAGGCTGAGGGCTGGGACACTTACTTGGTGGCCAGCAGCATATTCTTTCGAGAGTGCAGGTCACTGGGGTCCGTGTGCTGTCGGTTCAAATACTCAGAAACAGCTTTGGCAGGGAACTCCGTTTCACAAATGTACCCAAAATCCCGAGCTAGGTGAACAGCTTCTCCTGAAAAGACAGCAGCAGAGGTAATAATCAGCACCCAGTCCCTAGTCATCCTAGGGCAGGAGACACTCTGGTCAACTCTGTTACTATTTACAGAAGAGGCCAGCTGTTGGGGGTAAAAAGGTGTAAGATAGCCAAAGTAAAAAGGATTCGCAGGCCATAAGTTGACGGGATAAACTTTGATCCTTCAGCTCTTTCTAGCCTCTCCCTGATTATCCTTTCAGTCAAGTCCTAGCTAGATATCCCCAAATCGCTTCCAGTCTCCCAAACCCCATGTTCTGTCTTAAAGGAAGGGTGGGCCAATATTGAGAAACCACCTTAAAATCGCACCTAGACATTTGGCTGGATATTCAAGCCAGATTCCACCCCTGCCTTTTTTAAAAGCATCTGTTATACCTGATGTAATTAAAATGTAAAAGTCTTCCTACCTTTATCTTCCTATAATTGTGTTAGAAAAAAATCTCTTATTAATAACTCATATACACAAACATAAATCCATGTGTGTATATGTCCACATGTATCAAAGAATAAGTGCAAAACATATATGGAGCAAGTATTTCTATCCAGCAATGAAATATTTATTCTTCTTGTAATTTTCTTGCTAGTTAGGTTTCAGGTGTCTCCTCCTGAGGGGTTCTTGTCATCATCCTCCTACTTAAGGACTTTTGAGAGCACAAAGATGACACACTAGCTATAGAAAACCCGGACATCTGAGAGATCCCTCAGCTTATGGGGAAGCCCCCTTTCAAACAAAGCATTAAAACCCTTTAAAGAACAGCCTTAGGGGTTCAAGGGAATATCCGGAACATTAAAAAGAGATATGTTGAATTACCCCATAGTTACATTATTTTTAAAGAACATGACTTATTTTTAATCATTATTATCATAGTAATAACAAAAGACTTCAGGCATGGTGCTTACGATTCATAAAACTGAAAACTGCCAAGTGAATATTGGAATTTCACTTTTCCCCCCTTCTCCACCCAAATCCATGTCTTAGGCTGAGATTACCTTGACTTCTTTTCAAAATGAAGATTGTGGTACAGCATTTCCCTGAAGGGCAAAAAGTAAAACTCCCTGGCTGAGCGTCAACTGCCAGTAAGTGTGGTCTGGAAATTTGGTGACTGCTGCCCCTGGAGGGTGAATTTGGGCCAGGCAACTATGCCTTAAAGAGGGCAAAGTGCAATACCCATAAATGTGATGACTTTATGGTTGGTGCATAAATATTGTAGGATCCCCCTATCCAAAAATCAATTCTCCACAAAAATGTCATAGTATCACATCCATAAAAATAAAGAAAAAAACCCAACACCTACATATTACACTTTAGAGAAAATTCTACAACTTCTTCCATTAGGACTATCTGGCTATATTTCCTCTCTCTTTCCCAACCCACAAATTCAACTGTAGATCCTCTTCTTCTAGACTGTGTATAAGATCCTGTTAATTATGTACTATAAATATCACCCCCAACCCCATAATCATGAGCAAACTAGAATGTACTTACTATAATTGTGGCCTTTTAATTCACAATTGATGAATTTACAGTACAGATAATAAGTGACCCCCTCCACGTTTTCTCACCACTACCACCCCTAGTTTTTCCCTTGGCATCATTGGCCTTAAACTATATTTCAGTAACAGTAAGTCCCAGGTAATCAGCAGGAGATAGGACCCTGGGAGTGACATGAGTTTTAAAATACCAATTATGGGTCATGAATGCAACAATAGTTTCATAAATTGACAATGTGTTTTCTACTATTTGACTATTCAGAGTAAAATCTGGAAAGGAGAAGGGGTATACAATATATTGCTGCCTACAGATTTGCTTGCAAGAATTCATACAGAAGGTGTTTCAGACACTGTTCTGCACCTGGCAGATGTGACTCCTGCACTGGCTTGGAGCCTGGACCTGAGCACTCTTTGGAGTATAGGGACCATCGTACACATCCCTTTGCTGCTCTAGAATTGCCGGCTTCCTCTAAGTAAAAGGACCTTTGAACTTCTCTCAAGCAGCCGCTTGACATCCAACTCATAAGGGCACAACAATTGCAATGATTTCCAGTTAATCATGAAACGTGTAAAATGTCAGCCTTCCAGCCAACAGTTAAACTCAGCCACTTCGTGGAATGGCCACACATCTTGCTTACCTTCCACCAGGGAGGTGAGTAACGTGACATTTGCTGCTTTGCGCCTGCCCGCGGGTAAATTCAAACCGATTTTTTCTAGCCTTTCTCGCAAAGATCTCCCCCCATTTTTCGATTTGGCTCTGAAATTGCAAGAATTAACATTCTGATTAACCTCAGAGTGTTCCTGAAACAAAGTTTAGACTTAGCAATCTAAAGCCCAGTGGAGCTTGAAGAGGTTTTAACTTGAGGTTAGCACATTTCTCCCCCCTCCCCATCCTTTTGGTTTTTCGCTGATAGTTTGCTGAGGTTTGCTCAATTTCTGCAATACAGAGCATAAAAAAATTGAGCCATTTTCTTAGTTGAATCCCATGAGAAAAAAAAAAAGATACCAGATGGGAATAATTAGGGTAGAGTTGTGGGTCCAGAGAAGGCAGAAGTTGGACATGCACAGACACAAGCTCTTTCCTTGTCATGGAGCCAGTTGGGTGAGCAGAAAATGGGAAAGGACAACCTTGGTGACAAGAGGAAAAGAACTGGGTGGTTGAGAGAGGAGAAGGGATTAGATGAAACAGGTGGGCGTTCTGAGGAAGGGGTCAAGGGGCTTTTCAAGGAAGCTTTTCTTTTCTATGAAACAGAGTTGGGTTAACTAAAAGGGGGAGGAAGAAGGAAACATGAAACTAATGATGATGGTAATCACAATAACAGTAAAACTAACACTTTAGGGAGTTTAGTTATGTGATAAGCGCTGTGTACTGCATTAATATCTCACTTAATCTCATAGCAAATTTATATACACATGCTCAATGCCTAGGGGGTGATTCAAAGAAACTTTCATACTCTGGGGCTCAAAGGACTTGAAAACTGCACAAAAGTAGAGCAGAGCAAGATTCAAAGCGAGAAAAGTCTAGGGGATCGGCAGGTCGGCACCCTTACTCCTCCCAAGGCTCTCCCTATATGTGCTAAAGTCTAGGCGAAAATACAAGAAAAAAAACCCAGTTACTCTGACCTTCCTTGCTGTGCTGTTCACACAGCCACTTTTAGAAAAGAAAGGGACTTTCAACCCCTAAAATAGGCTAACTAGAAAAGTTCATCTCATACAATGTCACTCTTACCAGGGATGTAGCAGATGGTTCAAGGCATTGGCAGGCAAGGCTTTAAATCTTAAAAGCTACCTCCTCCCCCATTTCCCACAAGGAGGATTGTCTTCCTCCAATACTGAGAAGCGTATCAATGGCCTCATAGGATAACTATTAGTACCTCTAACGTAGTATCACTGTTGTTATGGGTGGGGGTGAAGAAAGGGGTCACAAGTCTGCAACAGAGATTTTCAAACTACGGGCAGAATGCATTTGTGGGTCATGACCAACTTGTCTGTTCAATAACTATAGACCAAATTATATAGACCAGCTTATTTGGTCTGTATAACAAAGGCAAGCTTTGGTTTTTACATTTTAAAACAAAATGGGTATCAGAGTGCACTGCAGGTACAAGACATTACTCCCTGAAACGTCTGTTTTAGGTCAATGCGCCTAAGTTCTGGGTCTCGCTCACTCTATGGAATATCCTCCAAGGGTCCTGAGGGCAGGAGGGAGCCGGATGCCAGGTGCTCGGCATAGAAACTGAAAAGCTCCCAGGGTCCCTACACCCGAGGGAGAGCCGACGGCGCGCGCACCTCCCGAGGGCGAGGGCGAGGGCGAGGGCGCGCTGGGGGCGGGGCGGGGCGCGACGGCGTTTGCGCGCGCGGCCCCGAGCACGTGACGGCCGCGGCTCACCGCTCGCGCAACGCTGGGGCCGCGCTCGGCCTCCCGGTTGCTAGGCGACCGCGTCTGGCTGCGCTGGGGTTTCCGCGCGAGCGCTCTCCGCTCACCCCGTAAAAACTGGTTTGGGGGTTTTACCTTCTGAGGACGCCGCCAAGGAGAGACGCATTGAGGCATTCGGGGGGTGAAAGCCGTCTCTGAACTTCCCCCACAGTTACTTTGTACTTTGAAGTCGAACTGAGCAGAGACAAACGACCCGGGACCGAGCAAAACACCTCGCCGGTGTTGACGGACATGCCTCCAAGGAAGCCATCTTTATTCATCATCAGAGAGGTCACAGATTTGGGAGGAACCGGAACTAGAGAGAAAAAAAAATATGCCATAAAGGTGACCGGGTTTCGATCCTGGTGACCGGCTGATAGAATGTGTCGGTGCGTGCGCAGGGCGAAGCCACAGGACAGGCGCCAAGTGGGAAGCTGGAGGAGGAAGTGTTTGTTCCAGTGAGGCTGCAGTGCGTTCAGAGCACTGTGTACAAACAAATGGAAAAACCGTCACTCTTCTGGAAACTTACTCCAAGTGTAGTAACGTAGACACAAGTCGCTTTTCACAGACCCGCTCACTACACATATCAAGAAATCACGCAACGCAGAATTTGGACTGGGCTGTGAAACTGGGCAAATCCTGTTCCATCACGTGCTGGCTGTGTGACCTTAGACATCTCACTGATCCTCTCTGAATCTAAGTTTCATCATCTGTCTCGTGAGGATAATTACTACATTTGGTTCTAAGGCCTGAAGGTGATTATCACTACCAATGATATAAAATGGTAGTACCAATGCTCTTAATGGGAGCTCCTGCCTCCATTCCTATTGGGTCCAAGTCTATGATCATCACTGGAGAGTATAAGGAGTGTGTGTCCCATAAGACACTATGCCCAAGAACAGCCAATAATACCATTAAGCTGGGGAGTTGGGTCCAAAAGAGCTATTCTTTTCTCTGAAGTGGATCCCATGCTCTCGTACATCATAACAACAAATTCATTTAGAAATGAACCCAAATGCTCTTCTCCAGTGAAAACAATTCCGCAGTGACATGAATTTTGTTTACAAATTAACCTAAAGCACCGGCTGGTGATTGTTTGGAGCAGTTATGATTTACAACAGGTGCCCTGATCAATCAACCAATCACTCTAATTCATTTGAGCGGAGGTCTTGCCTTGCCCCAGTTGTTTCATTTCGGCAAGTAATTGATAACAAACCGCACTCAAGGTATGTTTTATGCAGAAGTTAATAAGAGCTGACAGTTGGTTGCCACTGCTACTCAGGCGCATTCAGCCTGTCCAGCCTGTATTTCTGTTTAATTGTGTTTCAGTGTCATCTGCACCTCAGGAAGAGGTGGGGCTCAGGAGAACTAGAAGCCAGGGAATGAGGAGCAGTGAATGGTCAACCTTGCATTTCCTAGGTTGTTTCAATCCCTTGGACTGCTACATTGCTGAAGCCCATTTTCCTCCTGCACGTTCTAGAAGCCACTGGACATGTGATTTCTCCTCGTGACTTGCACCACACCTTAGCTTCTTCCGTTGGGATATAAAGCCCCCAAATCTTCAAACAGTATTTGTTGATCACCAGTCCAGGGAATTTATCGAAACATGCCTCTGGCATGAAAAAGTAGATTTCCATTCTTCGTCTTTAATAAAGACTCTGTCTCATCCTGGTAGGGGAAAGACGTTCTTTCTATAACCTGGAGCCTAGAACCCTATCTGTCAAGTTGCAAAATGTCCCTTGTACAGAATAGACTAACCAACACTGCAGATTTCTGTAACAACTTACTCTCTCTACCACAGATTCCACCATTCAGAATCCTAAAAGGTAGGTGGGTCTCAAATCTTATATTTACCATTATTAGCCCTTTACAAACACCTTGTGGAAAAGGGCTTTCCTAGGCAACTGGATGAGGGGACTGAAGAATTCCCTCTTGCTAATTCTTAGTAGACATTTTAGGATTCCTCGATCTGTCTACAGAGACCAAGACCTAGGGCAGATGAATGATGTTAGATAACAGAGTGGATCTTCTGCACTGACATGGTGGGGAGGCATGGAAGGGACTTTCTCCTTACTGACCAGTAAAGCTGCATCCCATTTGAGAGTGAAGCAATGAAAAACCAAATATCAACTAAATTTTATACAATATGGATTTAAAGTCATTTAATAGACAGTGATTGGGATGGGAACACCCTGTCACTTGTTTCATACAACATCTACATTGATTTTTATCCTATTCTTCACAGCAGTCCTGATTTCTGTATTTCAGATTCATATTCAAGCACTACAAACAAATAATTTATTAACATGGGAATTGGCATTAGATAACCTTGGAAAAACTGTTCCCCAAATATAGATGGCCCTTTGAAGTGTTAATGTGGTATGAACTGTAGAAATGTATTGTCTAAAAATTTCATCTTCGATATTCAGCAGTATTTTTATATTCAAATACTATGTGAAAGAATATTTTAACAGGAAAAAAACCCATTCAGCTGAGAATTGTAAGTTGATTTCCTATTTCCCATACTGGACAACTGAATATCTCCTGATGATTGGAATTTCATCTGTTTCTCAGAGTCCCAAGTGCCAAATCTCTTGAAAAGCCTGGACTTTTAGAGACACTTTATAACCCGACCTCTAATTTCACTATTGTTAATTGCCCGATTTACCTGACAAAAGCTATTTCCTTTGGGGAAAGTATATTGTTCCCTCCCATGAGCTGTATTACCTTTCTGCATATACATTATCACCTAAGTATCACCAATCCAGTCAGTGTCTCTCAGAACACTGCTTGGGGGGTGGCAGTTGTTGTTTTCCCCCAAAGACTCAGACTTTTTGAGCAGACATGCTTAAGAGTATATTTCCATTTTCTAATTTCAGTGCCAATCGTGTTCTCACCCTCTATTCTCTCATCCTCAAGTTCTAAATCTCCCTCCTAGTCTGTCCTTCGTCTTGGTACCCAGACTAGACTGTACACATTTCTTGTTCCAACTTCCTTTAATTCCATAGCACTGTTACCTACCTTCCACCCCACTCTCACACCTGCTTAGCTCAGCTGATTAACTCCATATTTTATTCTCTTCATCTTTTCCCTTCTGCTTTTCTCCAGCTTATCAATAAACTCAGAGAGCAACAGGGCCCGGTTGATTTGTTAGTAATTATGAGCACACTGTTCCTGCTCATGGAACCCAGAGATGACTAAGATAGGTTTAAAGCGACAGCAGGAAATGGTAAGGAAATGGAGCATAGCAAAACTCAGCATGAAGCTTTCAGTTCTTTACATGTTTACAATTTTCTGTGAATACATTAAAACCGGTTTTTTTTCCTCTTCAGTTCTCAGTTGGGTAGCATGGCCAACTTCTGGATGTAACACCCACAAAACTTTCTCTCCTCCCTTTTCCCTTGCATTATATTGAAGAGAAGAAAAAAGGCTTAAAAAATGATCAATACTTCATTACAGTGACAGGAGGTTTTTTTTAATGAGAGGAAGGAAAACTGATTAGAGAAAATATTATTCATTAATGAACTATATGGAGCCAAAGTGTTATTACTTTAGCTCTTAATCTGCATTCTCTAAACTCAAGTGTGAAACCTAGCTTTGAGATCTTTGACTGGACACAAACCCTCTCTGGGTCTGATATGCTGGTGGGGGAGAAGGGAAGGAATGAACCCATCTAATAGATTCCAGGGTGAGACCCTTTGAAAGGTACTTGGACTTAAATATATAAACTACACTAGGAAGCCATGAAGAGGTTGGGCATTGTTTGAAATAATTACTTCTCACCTGTCCTCATATTTGCCCTGCTTCTCATCTACCCAAGGGCTAAGTGTTATTCCACATGTATATAAATGTTCCCAAAATAGAACCAGCAACTTGGTGGGAAGAAAAATAGGATTCCCACAAAGAAAGCTGGAACATAAAAAATTACAACATCCAGTGTTGGCATCTTTTAGGGGCAAAGTCTAAGAAACTGGAAACTAAGTTGGTCTCATCACCTACCTGATTCATGGGACATTGAGAAAGTCATTTATCTTTTCTCTGTTTCAGTTTCCACACAAGGGAATGAAGGTGGGGGGCTGGAGAAGAGCGTCTAACCTTTCTAGCTTGGAAATTCTGTGAACTCTGATTACTCCCCGGGTGGCTGGAATGTATCTCAGAGTTTCCAGTTGAATAAATACCTATTGGGATCCAAGTCACTCTGGAAATGTGAACCTCTTCCTTTGGGAGGAAACTCACACCCTTTCAGAAGCTCTGACCGACTCTCGGTGATTTTTACCTTCTAGGTCAGAAGGAAGAAATCCCAACGGAACCCACTGCAATTTGAAACTGGTAATTTCTTTATCCACACCCCTCCCCCCACCCCCAAGGAAAATCCACACCAATCTTAAGTGTTTATGTGGGGAAGGGGCCAGAACTAACGGGGGAAAAAGTGGGAGAGAATGGAGGGTGAACTGAAACTAACCAAACAGGATATCCCTAAGACCACTGAAAATGCCCCACAGTCACAGCATTTGAACCTTGGACTTCAGCCACGCTAGCCTTTCTAAGAAATCCCAGCGTATTTTCTGCTGTCTAAAGTGTCAACCAGATTGCATATTGGCTGCTGACTGCACGAAAAACCTTTTCTGAAAGCCTAGATGAGCCTTTTCCAGGTTGTAGGATGGTGGCAGTGATCATTTCTATAAACTGGGCACCACCCCGCCCCCTCCCCATCCCAGATTCCTAATCTTAATGGAACTGAGAGTTAAGAATGATTTTTTAATGTCTCGTTGGATTTTTAGACTGTTAATGTACCGAATCCTTCTCATTATTACTTTATTGATTGCTCATTGACCAGCCCCCTTCAAATCGTATTAACCACCCTCTGCCGGTTTAGATTAGGAGAGTTTAAAAAGCACCTTTCATTATCCACCCCCTCACTCCTGCCATGGAGTTGAGACTTGGCGGCTTAATGGGAGCTCTAATGGGGCAGCTAAGAGGAGAGGGGCCACGGTCCCTGCCGATTGCATTAATAGCTCAAAGGGGGCCAATACAGAAAATTAGCCGTAAACGAGCTCTGGAGATCTTCAAATGAAAGAGCCATTTATCACGCTGGCTACCTTCACTCCACTCGTTTGCTCTCTCTACTGGGAACAACTCATTTCCTCTTAACTAAATTACTTCAGAAATGTCAGCTAAGCCCAGATAGCAAACATAACAAGAGAGCTAGCCTATAATCTATGGGGGTGATATCAACACAGGTAAAAAATTGTACAGGTTACATTTTAGAAGGGGGCCCTCCATAATTAGACGGACATAGAGGCATATATCCTTTATGCCCAAATCTTCTGGCTCCCACATACACAGTGGCAGAGACACCCAATCCCAGACCAGTGGCTGCACTTTTATTAATGAGGTAGGATTTTAAAAACCTCTCTGCAAGCCCATTAGAAAATAAATTAAGCAACTGAGTCCCCTGCCAGTTGTTGAAATGTGTAATTTTTAGTTCAGAAAACTTTCTCACGTCTTTTATAAAATTAATCTCTTGGAGACATCCCTTAGAAAGGTTGGGGTGGGGTGGGGTCAAAGATGGGAGACCAGAGGACAAGGAGGGAGTTCCTAAACTCATAACCTTATTTTAAGTTGTTCATAGCAATCTGGAAAAGCAAAGCAACCACTTATTCCTATTTTGCCCTTGGCTGTCTAAAGATAAAAATATGGGATTAGGATCTTTCTGTAATAAAGCAAATACCTGAAAAACTAAATAATGGAGTTTGACCAGACACTTCATATTCACACCATGCCCCCTAAATCACTAAGTGACTGGGGTACCACTTGGATGTTTTAAGCTGCACTTTTTTGAAAAAGAGCTTTTGGGGCCATAAAAATATCCCATGTTCCCAAAATAGAACCAGCAATTTAGGCAATATTCTCATTTTCTCATTCCTGGAGATACCCTTATATAACATAAATGTTCACATTTCACTGACAGACATCCACAAGCCCTGAAACCAAAGTGTCTCACACCTAAGAATATTTTCAGCTCCATCTTGTTAGGCAAGCTAAGTTCCAAATATTTTTATTGGCCTGGCTATGAATAACATTTCTGATTGGTCATCTGTTGGGCATACCTCACGTCAGCCTAAGTGCTGTATTAGGATGCACACCGCTGAGCTATGGGGGGCTTTAGCCTTTTTCATGAAAAAGGAGAAGGAACTAAAACAGAAAAGAAACCAAAAAAGCGCGCGGGGAAGCTCCTCCCCTTCTCTCCCTACCCCATCAACTAGCAAGGAGCCAAAAGTGAAGTCCCAAGAGGAAATGGTGAAAGTGAGCTGTCAGCACAGTTGCAAATCTGAGCACTGAGCCTGGGTGTCCGAGCAACCCGAGAGCTGGCATTAAAATCCAAAGCAATACTATCTGAAGAAGAGAGAGACATTTGGAGCAACACTTAACATTTTTGCCCCAAACCTTACTATTCTTTTTCAGGATATTACATTCCAAAGCCAAATGTCATCATTTCAAGCTTTCCCCTCCCTCCTCCCATCCTTCAACACTACTTTTCCTGCCTTTGTTACAAAGAAGAAAATTAAGACGACCTCACCCTGTTTGAAATCCTTACTTCACAACCTTCCTACTATGTTGGCTTGACTGAATTACTTTCCAAAGCATCTTTTCTTTTGTTTTTGTGAATGTCATATGGCTCAAATGAATCATAAATGACTGAAGCTGGGGATTGTTGACACCAAACATAAGGACAGGCCTTCTCCAGCATCCATAAGAATGGGTGACAGGAATTAAAATTGTATCTCCAAATATCAGTTATTTTGATAATTAAAGATTGCCCTGTTTACACATTCAAGCTCTTAAATTTGTGGCATGTGAGTGACGTTCGGCAGGCATTCTCTCAGTGACTGTCAGAGAAGAGGGGGAAAAATTAAGCAGCTGCAAAACGCCCGAAATGAGTTATTGTAATTACATTTAATTAGTTTAATTAGTTAATTATTTTGCTTACAGCTGTACAAGAGACTGCAAACATTTGTTAATATCACATGCCCTTTAACAGTATGGGGTGATTCCACAGTCACACTAAATCATGAATGCATATGTAGGAAGATTTAGAAATGTGCATAGGCTGTCTCAGCTTCTCAAGATGCGCATATTTAGCAACACATTTGGCCCAATTAAAAAAATAAGACTAAGAAAACTCATAAAACACAGAGAACTGGGAAGAAAATTACCACCAAAAAAATCAAACACAAAAACAAGGAGAGAAGGAGCTGTCTCAATGATCTAGGGTTTAGCTCAGCAAACAGTCCAGTTATCACTAAAATGATTGTAGCACATTTTTGAAAGTGGTGTTTCCCAGACAGTTCCATACTCCACGGTAGTTCAGTTATTTAAGATGTATCTAGAATTGCTACCAAATGCACCATGAGAAAAATGGCTACAGTCTCTGTCTCTGTATCTCCCCTCATCGAGGTGTTTGCCTGCAGTTTTCCCTCCCCACCCCAACCTGCAGTTTCCTTCCTCCCGACATGCCTTTTCACCCAGACAGATGCTGTCCTATGATTGTGTACAAACATTTGCGTCTTATAAATAATGAATGCCCCCAAAGTGAAGACTCATCATAAAGACATGAATGCACAGGAAAACTTTGCTTACTCTTGAGAGGAATAATCCATACCTTTTTTTATGACAGACTGGTCCAATAGATTCATGCCGCTGTTATTGGCATCTTCAACTGACTGTGAATATAAAAACATCACTATTCAAATTGACTGGATATTAAAGAATCACACACATAAATCATGTCATTCCAAACTGAAGTTTCTGTTATTTCCATTTCCATTAATTCACAAAGGGAGGTTTTATTATTATCATTATTACCTCCAAATCAACATAGAAATGAAATTCATTCAAATTATAAATTCTTCCAGTGGAAGAAGAGGAAAAAGGAAACTGTGAGAGACATCTGGGATGCAGTACTGGTTTAGTTATTATACTAAACATAGATATTACATAGACACATACAATTTTACGTTATTTGCTCTTTTGAATTGTGAAAATTTGGCAGCTGATTTTCACCAATATTAGTAAGAGCAATTTCTGTTTTCTATTCTATCCCAGTGCATCTCACCCCAGAGTGTTTTTACAGATACATAATAGTTTACATTATGGGATTTTAATTAAAGTCTGAGCAATTTGGAATGGAATGCAAACAGCAACACATAGGAACACGGTTGCAAGCCGCCAGGACCGCACACCCACTGCAGTCCATACACGTCGCTATGCTCTATGGACTTCCAGCTACATGACAATCCTTGGGAGAATCCTGCACAATTTGCTCCCCTCCCATCCCCGCTGCTGCTGCTTCCCAGAAAGGGGCACACCTGTCAGGAGCAGTAACCACAGACACACAGACACACACGAAGCCGGGATCCCCCCAGTCAGTACCTAGGTAATAGCAAAGAGCGTTCATCTTCTGTGCCACCGTCTCATCCCAGAGAAGGAAAGTTTCAACCCTGGGTGCTGGCAGCACTTCTGAGGGGAATAGCGGTTGGAATGCGATTCTTACTGTTGGGATGCGGGAAAACAGAGCTCTGGTTGTGCATCCCAGGGCGTCCAAAAGTAGTAATTCCTTCTCTCTACCTCTCAATGAAAATACTGGATCTCTCTGAAATGTACAGCTGCTTTCCTTGAACCTTAGACACCTAAATTTGAACCAATTTGTCACCCACTCTATACAGAAATAAAATACAAAGGGCTTGAGAGTGAGGTGGTGTTTTCCCAGCATATCCCACCCCCTCTTCCTGAGTCCCCAGGCAGCGCGTGTGTTCATCACAAGGAAGAGACTGTCTACCCCAAACCAGCAACGGGTCAGAAATGAGATGATCTAATCATGGAGGGGGGCACATTAATATATTTTCGTTTTTAGCAGTCACTATTCTGTTCTCAGAAAGGTGAGGAAAACTTGTTACTCTCCATAAGAACCGTTTTCCGTGTTGTAACATGCCATGTACATATTGAGAAACAGTAAAAAGCTTCCTAAAAACATAGTTCAGGTAACTTGTTGGAAACTCCTCAGGAGACCTCACCACGCACACGCGCACGCAGGATTCACGCCTCGCTATGTTCACGTGTCTGCAGGGGCGATGTGTCCACGCAGGACAGAAATATTCGCCTGTGTCTGTGGGTGGGCAGACCGGCGATCTCACGGGCCGGGACCGTGCGCCCCACACCTCACCCTCACGTCGGTACGTAAATATGTATATACGCCTCATCAGCGACGTGGGGTAGTTGTGGTAGTTAATGAGAAGGCTCTTGTCTGATTTTCTATCTAATTACGGCCGCCTGCTGGGTTTTTGTACAGGATATTCACGCAGCATGCTGGCGCTTAATCGTCACAGGGAGGATCGTAAAGATTTAATTAGGACTGCATGCGGAAGCGCAGAAAAACAACTCAGACTCGTAATTACTAGACTTCTTTAGTTAAAAGTGATACCAGGGGTTGCTTTAAGACACTAGTGTGTGTGTGTGTGTGTGTGTGTCTGTCTGTCTGTCTGTGGGTGTCTGTGTGTTGGTGTGTTGAGGGGTTGACTTAACATCCTTCTGTGTTCATACGCATGGGTAGTAGAGGTGACCCGACGGGCAAAAGAAAGTAAGCGTTCAGGGCAGCCACACCAACTCCAAAGTAGGTGTCATCTCACCCCCGCTTTCTTTCTGATGCTGTTTTTCTGAGTTTTTAACACTGCCCCTCCTCCCCACACTCACATACGCACAATGGGTGAAATGTAGCATACCCGGAACCCAAACAGCGATTTGCTAGTTTAATAGCCCCTGTGAGTAAATTGAAATAGAAATTGACAGGGTTTTATAGTTTCATTTAAAAAAATATTAGAAGCATTTGGTTAATTAGCTCTTCTCCTCTCCTCTCACGGTCGGGGCGGTGGCCCCACGCCTCGTGTGTCTGGGTCACACAACCACCCCCAGCCTCACCCAGGTGAGTCCCCCTCGCTGGGAGGCCCGCAGCCAGCAGCTTCCTCCGGACCCCGTCTTCGGCTGCGGTGGAGATAGGGGACCCGGAACACACCAGGCCCTCGGGGTCCAGGCCCAGGCACTCTGGTCTCTTAAAGGCCGGTCGGGCGCAGCCACCCGAGTCCGTAGCTGCAGGTAACTGCAGCCCCTGCACCGAGACTCCTAACTCGGAAGTGGATTCCCCCAGATGAAGCAGAGGAGGCGCGGCCTCTGGGGTTCGGGGGTCTGGTAGCAGGGGCACGGCCCCCGTTTTTCCTTATTACCTGCCCTGTGCACGTCAAGCACTCTTCAGCCTCTGGAGGCCTGTCATCGCCGCGCAGACAGACCGTCTCTAACCCTGCTGTTTCCCTCCTGGGACAGGCGCGGGTGAATTTCCCGCGACCTCTGGCCCTGAGGGTCATCGGGAGAAAGTCCCGCGGGCCTCCGCACCTAGCCGGACGACCAGCTGGGCTGCTTCTGGGGGAGGGACGGGACACAGGTGGGGTGGGGCGGGAGCATTCGGGGGCCCCGGCCTTCACCTTCTCTCTTCCGGGCTCTCTCCACCTCCACCTCCGCGGGCTGTGTTCCCGACCCGCAACAACTCCGCCAGCCGCGCGACGTTTTGAAGAACATGTTCTTCCGAATGCACCCTGACCTGGCCTCTTTTTCTCTCTCCCTTCGCACTTGCTAAACACTCAAAACGCTTTGCAATCCTATCTTACAAAAATCAATCAATAAAGATCGAAAACCAAAGAAATATATTTCCTCTTTGGGGGAATTCCTGGGTTCTGTCGCCTGAGCCATTCGGGCCTGCAGGATGGTGACTCGGCCAGTGTCAGCATTGCCAAGAGCAATGGTGATGAGTTGATTCACTTTCATTATCTAGCACTTTGAACCGTGCCCAAAAAGGTTAATTTAAAAACTTTTCCCCCAAGACACGTATTAGTCCAAGCATTTAAAAAAAAAACTATTAAATATTTCCTTTCTCCTATGATATTCTGAAATGAGCAATATCTCCAGACAGGAATAGTCAAGATGGGTTAAATCAACAAAACTATCATTCTTATTAACTACAGGTAAATCTAGCCACAAATCAGGTGATTCCATGATTTTTGGAAACAATAACCGAATTTCCTTTAAAACAATAAACCACCATTGACTACACACAAATGCTGTCACATTTTAAATGTTCAAAACACATCCCGCCACCCCAAAAAGTTAGAGAAGGCCTTATGTACCCTTTTCCCTTTCCCATTTCATTTTCTTTTGCTTTAGAGGTATGTCTATAATGATGCATAATATACACAACTATGCCAATGAGACTGAAGTGTCAATCAAATACCTTTCAACCATATTTATCTTTTCTGGAGACTAAAGTACAGAGCAAAAGGAGACCTGTTCAAAATCACCCAGACAGTTTTTAGAAGTCATTTCTTTGATGTTTCTTTGTTTAGTTTAGCCAAGTATTCTCAACCAAATCAGGCTCTATTGTGTAGGTTGCAGATGGGATAGTGGATGGGTGGGGGGAGTGTTTTGAGCCTTTTGTTTTAAGAAACAAACACGTGATGTCTCTTCAACTAGGATGGTGGCTTTGGGAAGAGGAGAGTATTAATAGAGGGGGAAGACTGAAGAGGGACATGGAGAATATTGATCCACAGTCTTTTCATGGACCAAAAGGTGAAAAGAATCTCCAAAATGCTATGCATCCTCATGGACTCCCTAATAGCATTAGGGCTTTTTGGGTCTGTTCTCACAAATACTCTATTTCTTGGTTGATGACTCTGGAACTCAGTTATCTTGGAAAAGGGCTTCTGCTGCTTATGGGACATTCAAAGTAAGCCCTGGCTGAAAGAAACATAGCACAGGTTTTTCTTCCACTCTGCATTGTCATGCTTAACAAAGTCTTTACAGATCTAGCAGGAACCTCAGGAGTCTAGAGAGGAAGGCGCCTCCATGCTGCAGTCGCAGCCTCTAGGCAGCCAGGTCTTCATCTGCCATATCAGCTGGCCAGGCCCACTATGGGACATAGGGTGGATGGGTGGGGGCTCTTGGGGAGGGTACTCAGCTTGTTGGCACAAAGCACCAGGGACAGGAAGGAGTTGGGCAGTTGGGGCAAGACAAAAGTGTCCAGTCTTGATTCTGGTGATTCTCAGCCATCAGAACACACATTTTGCTCCTTCATGATTTCATTTCTAGCGATTCTAGCTTTCATAATTGGACCTCCAGAAACTGCCACTATACAGCCATAAACAGTTATCTATGTTCCGTCCAGTTGGTCCTGTTCTAAGAGGGAAACTACCTCCGCCAAAAGAGACGGATTGCTTCTCCCCACTCCCGGGGCATTCGTTATTTATTTATTGTCTGTTTCGTTTGTTTGTTGTTTGTTTGTGGTTACCTGGACGTCTTCCATTCCGGGATGGCCGAGGCCATGCAGCGAGAGGCTATCACCCATGCCCGCGTCCAGGCCGTGGTGCGCGGAATGCAGAAGTACGTCTGGCCGGCGCACCGAGTGGTAGTCCCTCCGGGGGTCGAGGCCCGAGAGCTGGGGCAAGGCGGCCCGAGGCTGGGGCAGTAGAGAGCCGGCTTCCGAGCCCACTTCTTGCCGCTGCCGTTGTCCCCAGGGGTGCTGCTGGGGCTGGTGCAGTGGGTTCAGGGAGTAGGGGTCGTTGACGTGGGAGTAGGGGTCCTGGCTCTGGTGGTAGGGGAGCGGCTGGTAGGGGGGCGGGAAGTAGGGCGGCTGGAAGTCTGACGACGGGGTGTGGGACAGCGGCGGGGCGCTGGAGTAAGGTCCCTGGGACACCGAGCCCAGCTGGGAGAGCCGCGAGCTGTGGCTCGGGACGCCATCGTGCCGGTCCTGGGAGCGGAAAGAAGGAAAGAGAGAAAGGGGGGCGGAGGGAGGCGGGAGAGAGAGAGAGAGAGAGAGAGAGAGAGAGAGAGAGAGAGAGAGAGAGAGAGAGAGAGAGAGAGAGAGAGAGAGAGAGAGAGAGAGAGAGAGGAGAAAAAATACAAGCGACAAATGGAGAAGCCTATTTTCTGTGTGTTCTTCCCGGGACGGGGAAAGCAAAAGTCTGAATCTTATACTCCCGATTGGACTCAGAGGGCTTATGATTCCAGCAATTCCAAAGGCGAGGCTTTTGGGGGGCATAATGGGGAGATTCACCCACTTAACCATCTGAGCCTTCTGTTGGGAGTGCAAAGCCAGCAAAAGGGGTGAGGGTAAAGTAACTACGTGTGGAGGGAGGTTCTAAATTCTTTAATTCAAAATATAGGAGTCTTAAATTTGGTATTTGCTCTTCTCAGTGTTATAAACTGTTTCTCTAACTCTTCCGGAGGCCCAAAGCATAGCAAATGCAACTTCGTACTATTTCCTATGTTGCTCCGCCTGTTCAAAACCAACTTCTGCTTTCACTGGCAGCCCAGCCGGCTCCCCAGGAGCTCCCCACACAGCCTGATAGTTCCAGGAGCTCCGAGGAGTCTGCTTGCTTTGAGGACCCCCTCACTCCTCCCTCCTGGAGAGGAATTCATTTAAATAGTGTTTGATTGAAATGGATCTCATTCGAAATCATATCCTTAGCCCATGTTAAGTGGAGTTGTGGTTCTCAGGAGTTATTCTCTGAGGTTGTTTTTCTATATCTAATGCGATTATACCCTAGGGTGAGAAATGAAGGACCCAGGGTTGCAATGGGAGGGGGTGGGGGGAAGCCCAGACAACTTATTGTTGGTCCTCTCTGGAGTGGTCACCTAAGGGGACGGAGATGGGCACTAGGAGAGGGGGTGTTTAGGTCTCTCCCTCTCCTCTGTGGCAATGCCATGGTAAAGTCCACATGATTCTTTTTGGAGAAATAATCACCTAAATTTCCAAGCTGCAATGACAAAAAGTTTTTCTGTTTGGCCTCCCCCCTCCCCAGCTGACTCATGGAGCTCAGACGGAGAACACAATGCAGAGAGAAGCAGCTGCAGCCTCGTCCAATTATGGTGCTAAATTACCAAGCCAAAGGCGCCCAAAGGAAGACAGAAACAGAGAGAGTGAGACACACACACAGAGACGGAGAGACAGAGAGACAGTGAGAGGAGGGAGCATGCAATTCTGGTACAACGTGAATCCAAACTCACCATGGATGAATAGGTGTGGACTAACATCTGGAAAAAAAAGCCTGGTTACTGCTCAAAATCAAACAATGATTAAAAAAAAAAATCAGGGAGTCCAGCAGAGAAACGAGCTGGACACAGGAGCCGAGCTTGAGGTGTTTCCAGGACAAGCCATCAAAAAAAAAAAAAAAAATTACCCCCACCCCCACCCCTAAACAAGATTGGCAATGCCTGTCACACACAGAGCTGTTTATCGGTCTCTTGCTGTCTTTTTGGGGCCTCTTTTCTTCTGCCCTTCTTCGGGGCTCCAGATGCAGTCCTCTTCCACCCGAAGCTGGGCTCAGACTGCTCCGGCGCCCCTTCCTCCCTCCGCTTGCCTACACCGCCTCATAATAATTGATATTCATGACTATTAATATTACACGAGTACTTTAAAGGGAGAATGGAGGACAAATGGAGCGTGAAGCAGCAGCGAGCACAGAGCTCCCCTACTATTGTAAATGACGTTCATTCAGTGGAGAATTACTAGATGTAATCAGACGAGGGGGCTGGCAAAGGCAGACTGGGGAAAAAGTTTAGCAGGAAAGAGGCAGAACTTCAATTAACTGAGCCGGGGACAGCGTAAAGCAGCCCCCTGCTCCCTGGGACAAGGAACGGAGGGAAAGCATCGCTGGGGGCTTGTGTAGAAAGTAGGTGTCCCTGTTCCTGGAGAGGACTTTCCTAATGGGAAGAACTGATCGCCCTCGGTGCTTTGAGTGCAGATTTTAAAAAATAATAATAAAAGAAAATAAAGAAAAAGGCTAAGGCGTTGCCTCATCATTTGGAGGGGAGAGAAAAGTAAACCGGCTTGTTTACAGTGATGTTTGCAGACTTCGACTGAATATTGGAGATAATGCTTATTTATTAAAGAATAGAGGTGAGATGGGGGCTTTTCACCCCTTATGCAACCTTTCCCTCTTTAGTGTTCATACAGTCTGTGATTTTCACCTCAACTTAAAAATATATGCAATCAGTCTTGAAGTACACTAAACTTAGCCTTTCCAGGCAAAGCCAGGGGCAACAGAAAACCTTTTTGGATGATTCAAGAACCCGTTCAACTGGCCTGACTGCCATTTCTGTTAAAGTTCAACCTTCCTCCGGCCTTAAATAGGCTGCTTCCACCGTACTGCGGGTTCTTCTATATTTTTGAGTTGAAAATTTAGGCAGAAAGGAATCCCTGCAACATCCCCTCTCCGTCCCCTTTATTCTCTCGTTTCCCCCTCTTCCACTCCACCCCTCCCTCTTCTCGCCATCTCCCTCCCTTCTGTCTTTCTCCCTCCCTCTTTCCCCATTTAGCCAGTTTACTCTTCTTAAAGAACAAGTGTTCCCCTGCTTACCTTGCAGAACCCACTGAAACCCCACTGCGTACACCCCGAGCTATTTACGCCGCCGCCCCGTCCCCGCCAGTGGCATGCCCACTTCGGGCGCTCACACTCTTTCGGATAGTTCTAGCGCCTTCGACTTTTCCATTATTTCTCCCGGTAGATAAAGAAAGGAGGCCGAACCGAAACAAACCCACCAGGCGGAGGCGCGGCTCTTCGTTACAGTCGGTACACAACCACAAAGAGGAAAGGAAAACCCCAGTCATCATTGCGCAGGCAGGCGAAGGAACTCTCACGCGCGCGCACACACACACACACACACACGCACACGCACACCCCGAAATCAGAAGTCAGGGACGGCAGAGCTGGGGGCCCTGGGTGCGAGCGCAGGGGGCATCGAGCCACGTGTCCCGGCCTGTCCGCCCTTCGGGACGGGGCCAGCGGGTTCGCGAGGAGCCGGCCGGTCGCTGCTGCGCGTCCCGCTCCCCTGGTCCCCGCACTGCGGCGGCCTGCCCGGCTCTCCCGAGCGTTCCCGGCGCGGCGGGCCGTGTTTCCCCGCGCAGGTCGCGGGAACTTCTGTGCGTCCAGCCGCCACCGCTCCGTCCCGCCAACCCTGCGCCGCTCGCGCCGGTCGCCCGGGACTTTGTTCCCCTTCCTCCTTCCTTCTCCAACTTCTCCGCGATCTCCGCCGCCCAGCTCGCCGGCTCCCACCGCCCGCTTCTCTAACCCCTCTGCGCCTTCCTCCAACCTTGTCTTTATTTCCTCCCTCCCTCGACGTCTGCTCGGAGTCGCTGCTCCCCCTGGCCCCTGGCCCCTGATTCGGGCTCGCCGAGGCCCTTCCGCGCCGGGAGAAGTGGCGCGGGCCTCGCCGGTAGTCTGTGCACGGCCCGCCGTGCGCCCGCCGGGACGCCCGCCTGGCCCGCGCGCCCCAGAGCCGCCCAGCCGCCGCCCGAACCCCGCCCGGCGTCTCCTGCAGCCCGAGGGCGAGGGGCGCTAGCCTCAGCGCTGAAGAACCGTGCGCACTGAAGAGGGGCAGAGCATTTCTTAAAAATGCCAAAACATGGGGGTTGTTTGGACGCAAGGACCCTCAAAGAAGCAAAACACAAGAAAAGAGAAAAAAAATGTCTGCTACGGCTGCTAGCCTTGGGCTCGCTCTGTCGGCACGCATCTATCCATCTGTCTACTTCCTCCTCCTAATTTTCCGTCCCCTACTTGATCCGTTTGTTACCGGCTTTAGAAATTTTATTGAGAATAAAAATTACAAGCCCGAGTCCGTTACGAATGAGGCTTGAAAACCTGATTCTCTCCCACGCTCAAAAGGAGGAGAGCCTTCGCCTTAATCAGTTCTCGTTTTCTCTGCCCACATTCAGTAGCACCACATTTCCCATCAGAGCCGAAGGAGGGGGGGGGGCGGTGTAGGAAGAGAGAAATAAAAATAAAATAAAATAAATCTTCTAAGTTAAAGTAGTCAGATTTCAACCTTAAAGTCCTTAACATTTTCAGAAGCGAAGTTCTCCCCAACCTAGCTTTTCTAAAAGTTAAGAGAAAGCTGAGAAAACCGACCGGAAATCTACGAGTAAATAGCTTAAAAATATCTATCAGTTGGGGTGTCAAGAAGCTCCAATTCTCTATCTGCAAAGCTCTAAGACGCATCTGGGGGTGTCAGCTCACCTCATAGATATCTTCGTACTTGACATTCTCCACGAGCTTCCAGAGCATGATGGCAGCCTGGTCTCTAGGAGGTGAGTGCATTCATGTGAGGAGCAGATGTCTGGCTTCTCAGCACTCCGCTGTCTGTAATGATCCATCTATAATTGGAAATGGGGGATACACACCAAATCCGACGCTCCTCTCCCATCGCAACTTATATCTGTTGTCTCAAACAATAGGCTGGAGAAGTAAGCCTCAGCAGAGAGAAAAACATTACACACACAGGAGTTAGATGTAACCCACAGACATATATATTATAAAAATCATAAACACGTATTTACACCCAGACACCCACATTTAGTTATATAAGCACCCCTGGGTCACGCAGACTCTACAGACTCAAGCATTTAAAGGAGAGAGAGTTGTTCAGTGAAATTAATATAAATATACACATTAAAACCTCTATATTGAAAATGATGAATCATTGTAGGCACTGACTGAAGTCTTTACAATTCATAATGAGAAACCAGGGGGTCAACAGCCCCCCATTTTCTGTGTAGATTTTAAAAGGGGAGCCATTACTGAGATTTTTAAAAATACAAATGCTCCAATTTATGTGTGTTCTGCAGGAGGGTATTTTGAAAGCTGGATTTGGGGATTTTCAGGGCGATCTGTCTGGGTTGATGTCTACACAACTTTTTTTTTTTTTTAAAGTTCTACCTCTGTCATTGCAGAACAAAAAAGCCAGCTCACCACAGTGACCATTTCTAATATTTTCTGATCACTTTGCCCAACGTATTTGGAAACCTAAATACTGTATGAACACCTCAGTCTGTACCGTTTGTCATTTTAGGGGTTGTTTGTGCGTATTTTCAACGGATTCCATGTGCCATTCTTTTCTTGACTGGAGTCTCCATTTTATGAAGTTTTTTTTTTTCGGATGTTGGGAGCAACATACACATTCACACGATGTTAATTTTGAGCCTTCTTTGCAGAGAGGCACAGGACATTTTATATTTGCATCTGTCCTCTACAACTTTTAAGTGGTTTTATTTATGGAGAATTAAGAAACGATCACCTAAACTTTGGAAGATTTAAGCAGAATGTTCTTCAAAGAGACAGTGAAAAATATTTTAGGATGTCTGTTTTCTGTTTGTTTTGAGTTGTATTTTTTTCCTAGCAAGGTGATTTGTATAGTTCATTTTAAAGGAAATCGTAAACAACAAGAACAAAGTTAACCAAACCTTGCAAATGGGTGTCCTTTAAGATCCAGTGTTTCCAGATTTCATCACCAAGTGAATACTCCCCTCATTCCCCTTTTTCCCCCCTTCTTTTTCTACTCCCTTTCAGGGTGCAGAAGGATCCCTACAGCCAGAAAAGAAGTCCAGTGGAGGAGCTCTGTCCCTGCGGCAGAAAATAAGTGGCAGGAGGGAATGAGGAGGGACGGGGCAATATGGGGTGGAAGTTATTAAACCTGATCAGAGTGAATCTGCAAAAGGCGGTTGTGTGTAAATCTCACGAGTGCTGAGCGCGCCGGGTGTGAGCAGGGACGAGCACTCTTGGAGGAGAGGGCTCCGCACACCCGCGGTGGATATCCGTTCGATGAAAACCAGGGAGACGCTTCATATAACGCAGAATGAACAATTCCGCACGTTTTATTTAGTTTTTTAAAAACGACAAGTCACATGAAAGGAACACAAAGAAGGTACTTAAGAAGGGTCTTCAGAAATAAAACCCTTTTTAAATTTCCAGTTCTAATTCTTATGTTTTGCCTTTCCCTCCTCCCTCCTTTTATTCCCTGCATTCTGTTTCCTTCCCTTCCTTCCTTCCTTCCTTCCTTCCTTCCTTCCTTCCTTCCTTCCTTCCTTCCTTCCTTCCTTCCTTCCTTCCTTCCTTCCTTCCTTCCTTCCTATTTCCTCTACTTTAAATATTAACACCCGAAATCATACAAAATCTATACAGCTTTCCTCTGGGAGCAATAACGGAGATTTTCTTCTTTGCTCCCAGAGCTGGTCTGGACATGGAAAGGCATTCTTCCTAATTTTATTTTGATGGTGGGACTTGAAATGAGCTTTACCCTCCCTTTCCACCCTTCTCAGAACTAAAATCAGTCCCAGGTCAATATTCTGCAAGATAGATATTATAGACTTGTAAGTTCAGATTTTCTAGACACGAATTTATTAATGGGAATTATTGTCATCTCCCTTTCAAATAAATAACTCCATTACCTTTTTTTAAAATCTGAAGATGATTTCAACCCAAATAAAAAGCAATGAAAAAAATCTTTTTTTTTCTCCACCTGCTTTTAACACTTTTTCATCTCTTTTTGACATATTATTGATCAGTCTAAACTAAATCAAGTACACATCTTAAAACAACAACAAAAACTCAGAGGGATACTTTTATGTATAAAACTATTTTATATACTGTTAGTATAACTCTTTGATGGCCTTATATATGTATAAGTTTAAATTTCGCATAAGTAATTTTATTTTATGCTAATATTAGGCATTTTTAAAATTAGAAACGACTTGAAATATTTGGTTCAAATATAAATTTTTTAGGGAAACTCAAAATAACAAATCTGGTTTTATTAAGAACGAAGCACAAATTTAAAAAGCATATACACATATATAAAGAAAGACCCAAAGAAACACACAGCGATAATTAAATCTCTAGTCAATTTTTCAACGTGGGCATTATTTTAAAAAATCCTAGAAATTGCTAGGAGAATCTTTCCTAGGGAGTCTTCCTTCAGTCATTGAACGGGCAACAGCGCCCTCTGTCGGTATTTTGTATAAGCAGATCCTGCACGGCAATTCGATTTCTTTTTCGGCGATTTATTTAGATTCTTGACCTATGGCTAAGGGCATTTTAAAAATCCCATTCTTATTATACCTACTTATTTTAAGAGCTATTGTTTCACACCTAAAAAGTTCAAACGCCTGGAAAAATATACAAATAAAAGCTCAATCTCTACTGAGAAAATTTTCCTAACTTGAGCCGTCTTTTCTTGCTCCCTTTGGTGCATTTTGCTTTAAACTCCACGTGATGTAGGAAAAGATTCCCGCAGACTCAATACATGCAAACCACAACGAGCCCAAAGGTAATAGAGACTGCGGTTTTGAAGGGAAAAATAAACGAGTGAAACATGCATTTCCATCGTATTTCGTTTTTCATTTCGTCCTGCCTTATGCCCATATTTATTTTTCGGGGCATGCACAGGCTAGCCCAATAGAAGCGTACTGGACACGTCCCAGAGAGTTGTACTCGTATTTTCCCCTTTCGTTTATGTTGCCGTTTGTACAGCAGAGAGGAGAGTTAATAACACCCTCCTTTTCCCAGCCTCAGATAAAGGGTATATTTTCCGATTAACGAAGGCGCCACACCAATCAAAAGCTAATACACCTAGCATGGAGCCCTCTGCTGGCGGTTCTCGGCGCAGGTATATAACTAAAAAATACTACCTAAAAACATCTTTTGACATTAAATCAGCGTCAACCGTGAGCACTCTCATGTCTCATGTTTCCTGTTTTCTAAAAATCTAATTATGAATCACCTAATATTCTCGGACTTCCTTCCTTCCCCTATTCCTCGCCTTGGTGCTTATCACTCAAGACCTCATAAGCAATTTCCCCGTGGGGCTGCCTGACGGACCAACTACCTTTTTTTCTTTTACACATTCATGGCCCGCCTGGGTTTCCCTTTTCCATCTCCCGCAAGCACAGATAATACAAAGGGAAAAGCCAAGACTTAGAATCAGGATTACTGTGTCAAATCAGGACCCTGACCCCCATTCGGGGCAGTTGGACGAGCTACTTCATAGCTTCATCTTCCATGTACTGAGCTATAAAACGGGAATGATGGTGCGAATTCATTAAAATAACACTTGTGAGGAGGTCTCGTCGATACTGTCGCTTTGTAAAACAGTTTAATTTCTCATTATCTACTCAAGGCATGAAGCTCGGTGTTAGGTAAGTGGAGGCTTCCATCAGCTAGGGACTCGGGTTAGCTCCTGGTCAGAAAGTGGAGGTGGGAATCCCCACTTCACAGCCCCAA